AATTGAGACTACAGAATTAAGAAGATCCTCACGAGCTAGAAAGTCAACAATTTATGGTGATTATTTTGTATACTTAATGGAGTCTGATTTTGACATCGAACCTAAAGATGATCCTATTCATTTTCCAATGCCATAAATAGGGATAATTCTAAATTATGGTATGATGCCATGAAAGAAGAGTTAGAATCTGTGGCTAAGAATCAAGTTTGGAAAATTGTCGAGTTGCCTAAAGGAGTTAAAGCTGTTGGTTGTAAATGGGTCTATAAGACCAAGAAAGACTCAAATAATAATGTCGAACGATATAAGGCTAGACTTGTAGCCAAGAGTTTTACTTAAAGAGAAGACATCGATTATCATAATACATTCTCTCCAGTTTCTAAGAAGGATTCATTTCAAATTATCATGGCATTAGTAACTCATTTTGATTTAGAGCTACATCAAATGGATGTGAAAACGACATTTCTGAATAGGGATCTTGAGGAAGAAGTATACACGAAGCAACTTGAAGGTTTTTGTTCTGATAAAGATAGTCACTTAGTTTACAAACTCAACAAATCTATATACGGACTAAAACAAGCTTCCCAACAATGGTATTTAAAGTTCTACAATGTTATTACTTCATATGGTTTTACGAAGAATATTGTGGACAACTGTATATACCTTAAGGTTAGTGGGAGCAAATACATTTTTATAGTTCTATATATGGATGACATTTTACTCCCATCTAATGATTTGGGATTGTTGCATGATATTAAACAATTTCTTTCTCAAAATTTTGAAATGAAGGATATGGGTGAAGCTTCTTATGTCATTGGCATAGAGATTCACAGAGATAGGTCGAAAAAGACATTAGGACTGTCTCATAAAGCCTACATTGAAAGAGTTTTGGAGAAATTCAAGATGAGTGATTGCACTCCTAATGCAACGCTCATTTTAAAGGGTGACAAATTCAGTTTAAGTCAATGTCCAAAGAATGATTTGGAAAAGGAACAAATGGTTAGTATTCCCTATGTATCTACCGTAGGCAGTTTAATGCATGCTCTGGTTTGTGCACGACCTAACATTGCATTTGCAGTTGGGATGCTTGGAAGATACCAAAGTCATCCAGGAATGGAACATTGGAAGGCTGCAAAGAAAATCATGAGATACTTAAAGGGAACCAAGGACTACATGCTTACTTACAAGTATGTTAACTGTCTTGAGGTGGTTGGATATTCAGACTCGGATTTTGCGGGTTGTCAAGATTCCAGAAAATCGATTTTAGGATATGTCTATCTGCTAGCAGGTGGTGCTATTTCATGGAAGAGCGCCAAAGAGACGATAATTGCGTCGTCAACAATAGAAGCAGAGTTTATAGCATACTTTGAAGCAACATCACAGGCTATTTTGTTGAGGAATTTTATCACAGGGTTTCGAATTGTGGATTCAATTTCTAAGCCATTAAAGGTTTACTGTGATAATTCGGCTGCAGTTTTCTTCTCTAACAACAACAAAAGTGGCAGCCGAAGCAAGCATAATGACATAAAGTATCTTGCTGTTCGAGACCGTGTTAAGAAGCAAGAAGTCAGCATTGAGCATATTAGTACCGATATGATGGTTGCAGATCCCATGACCAAAGGTCTTTCTGTAAAGGTGTTTTCAAAATACGTTGAAGGCATGGGACTGATTGGTTAGCTCAATAATTTTTGTAATTGTTGCTTTGTTTTGTTTTATTTTGTCATGACATTTTGATTATTGTTAGTGAAAAGCATCATTTTGTGCACCTAAAGTATTTGTAATGCTATGTAGTCCATTGAGACTATTGATCCATAGGGATCATTGGACTCAGAATAACTTATTAGAAATTATTCATCAAGAATGACACCACATAAAGTTGAGAGTATCATACAATGTAATACATGGAAGGAAATACTCAATTGATAGAGTATAACGGCCATGATTCGTGTATTATGACTCTTATAAGGTTTAGGTATTTTTGTTTAATGGGCATAATTAGTTTGTTGGTTACCCAAAAGTTAGCAAAATGTGGCACATGTGCCAAGTGGGAGAATGTAAGTATGTCTCCGTAAAGTGGCCCACATGCCACATTAGTTTTATTTATATTATTTAATCAGTATTATTTGGGTAACTAACGTATGTGATACCCATTACCCAATATGGTGGAGTCATGGAAGTTACAACTTCCCTGATGGTGGGAAGTTATTAGGAGTTACAATGGATCATGGGTCTAAGCCTATCTATGTATATGTTTGTGATTGCCATCAAAAGCAGACGTTGTTTGTGAATAGAATATACTTGAAACTTTGTTCTTTTCACTTTTCCAATATGGTTCTGTAAAAGTGTTCTGTGAGTGGGTTTTGTTTATACATTCAAAATTTGATCATTCAAGGATAAAGATTCAAAGGCTTGAACACCATGGCAGGATGTATTCTTCTTTCTGAATTAAAATTATTTTAATTCTCACAAATAGATTAAGTATTATGAGAATTGAAACTTTAAAGAAGCTCAATGTAATTGTGCTACACTTGTAAGACTCAATATGAGAAATTTTACTATACACACCTCTTGAAAGGAGTGTAACATATGCACCCCTAATTATGCCATTTTGTTATTTAGTTATGCGTAATTTTTTTCTTTAATTATGACAATATTTTAATTATGAGTTATTAAATCTTTGGTTATGTATCATATATTGTTTGGTTATGATTTTTTCTTTTTTCTTTTTATTTTATAGTTATAACTCATAAAATATAGAATTATGCCATTTTATTATTTAATTATAAGGTGCATATAGTCTTTCCCAACTCAATATATTTTCTTTGGGTTGAACTTGAGACCCGTAGGGTTCACCACAAGTCCCTTTTTGATGATTTGAAACGTTTATCTTGTAGGGCTCTCAGTGCATATTATTCATAAAAAAAAATTAAATTGATCTGATAATTGAAACATTTTATTTTATTGTGTCCTAAAAAATGGACAATAAGTTTGTTTTTGAAGCCATTGACTTTTTTTTTGGAAACAAACATAATAAAATCACAAGGTTTCAATTATCAGAACGATCTAATTTTTTTTAATAGATGATACACAAAGAGCTTTACAAAATAAATAATTTAAAATATCGAAACGAAATATCGAAACGAGACTCACAATAGACTCCATGAGCTCCTCAAATTTAAATTCGAATTTAAGAAAAGCCCATCCTATTTATTTAGGGAATTCCTGCTCAGGGCACCTTCATTACTCACTTATATTGGAAAAATGACATGCTAATTAATTTTAATGGAAAAAATTTCTAATTTAATTTAATTTTTTTTTGTAGATTCAAAGGACAAAATAATATTATAAATTAAATTAATGGAGGATTTTTCCTTCATTAAAGAATCAATTCAACTCTTCTATCCATATTTATGTCTCTATGTATTCTACATTCCCTATTTCTTCCATATCTCTCTCCCTCTCTCTCTCTCGTCAAAATCTTCACCATTTCTATCCATCATTTCTCATGGCCTCCATCGTAGAACTTCATTGATTTTTATATTTTGAATTTTATTTGTTATATTTTGATGGTTGTTTGGATTGAAGTTTGCGATTGACTCGTATAAGAGATATATATTTTGTTTGTTTTTTCAAATGAAAGAGTAAATAATTGTTGAAATATTTATTTATTTATTTATTTTTATGTGAGATTAGGGACTAAACAATGTGTATTTCATTTGTTACAATTATTTCTTATTGAATAGGACTGAACAATGGTGTTTTTGTTTGCTGTTAATTTAACTTTATTTTGGTTTAGTTTAATAATATATGGCTTATGTTTTATTTATTGATGCTTTGTTTAAAGGTAAAAATGAAATTATACTTTGGTTTGATACGAAAATATGTAATTTATCTTTGTATTTTGATATTTTGTTTTAAATTAACAGTAAAATTTTATTCTGTTAACATTATCATTTCATTATTTTAATAATTTTTTGATTCAATATTTCTACTTGTGGCGATAACAATTATAGTGTAGTGACTGATGTTTAGTGATTTAAAAGAATTTCAAGCCTAACATGAATCTTATTTCATAGATTCCGATGAGAGTATTTTAAAATGTTAATCATATTAAAAACGTTTTGATATTTTGTTTTAAATTAACAGTAAAATTTTATTCTGTTAACATTATCATTTCATTATTTTAATAATTTTTTGATTCAATATTTCTACTTGTGGCGATAACAATTATAGTGTAGTGACTGATGTTTAGTGATTTAAACGAATTTCAAGCCTAACATGAATCTTATTTGATAGATTCCGATGAGAGTATTTTAAAAATGTTAATCATATTAAAAATGATATTTAAATTAAAAATTATATCATTTTAAAATTTAAAATATTAAATTAGTCACTGATGACATTTTGATAATAATAATGTATTGCCTTTTTGAGAAAAAAATTATATGCCTGTCTTTAATACGTACAAGTTTTATTATAAGAGAATTTTGACTAATTTCACATTTTAAACCTCAATAGAGCCCAAACAGGTATCATTAAAAAAATGTATAATAATAAATTTTATTAACCAATACTTTTTATGGCTCTCATTAACAATACCAAGCAAGAAATAATTAAGTGTCACATGCCATGGGAACTCTAATGTAGTATAATTGCAGTTGATGTTAGACATGGCATGTGGGACTAGGATCATGTGCATGGTTTTAAACTTAAGCAGCGTGTAAAAGAACCTTACAAGTTACAAGTGGCATAACACACGCGCTCTCTCTCCACCAAGGATCTTCTAGAGTGAAATTTTTCTAAAGTTTTCTAGAGTGCTATATTGTGTGGTTGAGATTTACTGGCAAGTCACATCAGAAAAATTGATGTGACTTACCAATAAATCTCAACCATACATCGTAGCACTTTAGGAAACTTTAAAAAAAAATCACTCTAGCGATCCTTGCTCCTCTCTCTCTCTCTCTTTCTCATATATGAAATATATGAATCTTCCATGCCAAACAAACTGCTCAACCACCCTTACCCCACCGATCACCTATAATTATTACTCTCTCTGTTTTTCTTTCATTACTTCACAACTCACAACCTTCTCTCCCAAACAGAGCCATCTTCTTAGCTCATGAATCCTCATTGTCAACACTAAACCTTTCAAATTCCTCTTTACATTGCAACTTCCTAATTTTGAGATTGCATTTTAGTTGAAATGGCTAAAATGTTTAGACTTATGTTACTTTGTTCTGTTTTGCTTGCTCTGTTTTTGTCTTCCTCTGCGCAATCATGTGCCAAATATGCCTTTGCAAGCAACAAAGTGTTTAGTTCCTGCAATGATCTCCCATACTTGAACTCTTTTCTTCACTGGACTTACAACCCATCTTCAGGAACTGTCCAAATCGCTTATCGACACACCCAAATCACAACTTCAAATTGGGTTGCTTGGGCCATCAACCCACAATCTAAAGGCATGGTTGGATCTCAAGCTCTTGTGGCTTTCCAGAAATCTGATGGAACTATGAGCGTTTACACGGCACCAGTGACCAGTTATCAGACCCAATTGCAGAAAGGAGATTTGAGTTTTGGAGTATCGGGTTTATCGGCTACTTATTCCAAAAATGAAATTGTAATCTTTGCTACTTTGCAACTGGCAAACAATAGTGGAACAGTGAACCAGGTTTGGCAAGATGGACCAGTTAAGAATGATGCTCCTGGGATGCATGTTACTTCTGGTCCTAATATTCAATCAATGGCCAGTCTGAATTTTCTTTCTGGACAATCTGGGACAACAGGAGGAGGTGGAGCATTGAATTCAAGACTCAAGAAAAAGAATGTAAGTAACTTAATTCATTTTGTGGTTTTGCATAATGGGTTCAAATTTGTGCTCTGTTTTTGCTCTGTTTGTTGACTCTGCTTTTGTGTTGTGCTAGTAACCAAGCTATGGTTATTTTTCATCCATTAGCTAATATTCTTTACCACAAAAACAAAAAGCTAATTAGACATAATAACTTCTCTCACAATATATTTTTCTTGTTAATTTGTTGATTAAGCAAGTATTTAGTGTCTATGAATAGAATCATTTTTATTTTATTTTTTTGAGAAATTGAATTTCACCTCTTGTGGTTTTGACTGGAAAACACATGGTTTACACCACTTGGGTTGCGTATTTTGGGGCCAAAAAACATGAGGTTAAGTAGACAAGAAAACAAAAGAAATAATTGTATTTTTTCTTCTCAAAAAAATAAAACAGGTGAGAGTAACAAAGAGTTCTATTTCTTATCATTTCTTACCAAATCGCTCAATATAAACCAAAATTGAGGGTTAGCATTTAAAAAAAAAAAAAAAAAAAAAAAAAAAAAGTATACTGAGATACATTACAATTGTGATGAATGAATGCAAAGTTTGTTACTTAAATTTGGTGGGTGATGAAATTGCAGCTACATGGAGTGTTGAATACAGTGAGTTGGGGGATGATGATACCAATTGGGGTAGTGATAGCAAGGTACTTGAAAGTATTCAAAGCAGCAGACCCAGCATGGTTTTACCTTCATGCGACTTGCCAAACCTCAGCTTACATAATTGGTGTAGTTGGATGGGCAACTGGTCTCCAGCTAGGGGCTCAGTCTCCTGGCATCCAATATACTGCTCACAGAACCATTGGCATTGTACTTTTCTCTATTGCTACCCTTCAGGTATATCATCAAACAAATTTTCCCATTTGCAAAACAGTTTCAAACAGTTTGGTCAAACAATTTTTCTGTGTTTTACTAGAACATGAAAATGATATGAAATATGGTCTATTTTGTAATGTTTATATTTGTAACATTTTTATTTATATTTATAAAATTTTTGAAATGTGTAAACATTTTATTAAATTTTTAAAAAAGTTGGTTTCACTTGTTTAGGAAAAAAAGAAAAAGAAAAAGAAAAAATTCCCTCTTCCACCCCCTCCAGCCACCACCTACCACTCTCATCACCACCACTCGACCTTGCCCGTCACCTTCTCTGGTAACCACCTTTGGCAGCTGCCAACCACTGTCCACCAGTGGCAACTACCTTCAGCCACCCTCTCTTGTATGAAACCACTCTCGGCCACCACGTCCAATCACCACCTTTGGCGATCAGCAACCACACCGTTGGCCACCAACCATCAACAACTGTCTTTGACCACCATCTTCCACCAGCCACCTCTTTCACTTGCTTTTGAAACATGTGTGTACCAAATATAATTTTTTTTGTTTGTTTTTGTTTTAATCAAAAATAAAAACACAATCATATTTAATGTTTTCTACAAACAAAAAACAAAAAAACTGTATACTATAAATATTACCAAACGACACCATAATATACGTGTTGTTGTTTTCAAAGGTATAGCTATTTTGCTGATTGTGGCATACTAAGGAAACGTTTTTCTTTTTCCTTGGATGTAGGTGCTTGCTTTGTTTCTGAGGCCAAAAAAGGAACACAAGTACAGATCATACTGGAACATCTACCACCACTTGATTGGATACGCAATCATCATCCTAGGCATCATGAACATATTCAGAGGATTCAACATCTTGAATCCAGAGGAGAAATGGGAGAGAGCTTACATCATCTTCCTCGTGGCTTTGGCCGCCATTGCTGCATTCTTGGAAGTTTATACGTGGATCGTGGTTGTGAAGAGGAAGAAGTCAGGGGGATATGACAAGACCCCTCATGGCATGAATGGAACAAATGGGTTTAATGGGTGTGGAGCTAGGGCACAACATGGGGTGTAGAATGTAGATAGATCTCATGGTTTCATATTTACTTTTTTTGTTTTGTTTTTTTTGTTTTTGTTTTTGTTTTTGTTTTGTTTTACTGGTTTGTTGATGCACCACTATTTATAGATAATGAATGAGAGTACTTAGGACACCTGATGTATTGGGGGAGTCCATGGTTAGATGTAATTGGTAGCATAGGGTGTGTCTCGACAGTTACATGTATTTGTTTCTTATGTATTATTATTACCAGTTTTATAGATCGTTGTCTTTGCATTTTGTTTCTATATCATTCCATTTCCTACTCTTATTGTGTCTTTAGTTTCCTCCCAATTGTTCTTTGATATAAATGAAGCTTTTAGCTCCCTTTGATTTTCATTCCAATTGTCGCAATGCCTCGACAAATGCATCCTTGAGAAATGGATTTGAACCAGCCACTCACTAAGTTGTGACACCAAATTCTTTGCCAAAACTGATGCAAAACAAGCATTACACTTTCGATGAAGTAAAAAATCACTTTAAGAGTCTGTGTCATAGAATATAATATACATGCCCTTCCAATAGACCCCAGTCCCTCCAACACACACACACACACATTGTTAATGTATATATTTATATTTATCTCATTGTATCTCATCTCTCTCTATCTCAATCTTATCTTTATCTCTCTCTATCTCTATCTCATTGTATCTCTACCTCTATCTCATTGTATCTCTATCTCTTTCTATCTCTATTTCCTTATATACTTATCTTTTGTGTTCAGCCTGTAAATACAGGCTCTCCTATTGTATTCTTATTCATTCAATAATATAGATACATTATTCTAACATGGTATCAAAGCTCTAGGTTCTACACTTATGGCCTTTTTTTTTTTAGTCTCGTACACAGTGGCACTATAGCATTCATTCCATCCCCAATACACTTTATTATATTTGTTCCCGCACTGCTTCACCAATTCCAGTGGCCGTAAACACAACACTGCGACACCATCATACTCGTCTCTTCCAAACGATTCCAGCGCCACAAACCACGCACTAAAACAACTTTACACGCGCCCTCACGCGCCTTTTATTTCACGGCGTGTCATTCACGACGCCACCAGTCTCTATACGCGCTACCATGCGTCGGTTGTCAGACTATCCCACGCTACGCGTCAATCACGCGCGTGTGCCTCCGCTCCACTCGTCGCTGACATCAGCCCTCAACGCGTCAGCGTCATCACTCCCGTACGCTGCACTCCTGCTGCTACCGTGCGTCGCGTCTCCTCTTGCTAACGTGCGCCGCGCCTCTGCTGACGCCTTTGCTGCTATCGTGTGTTGCGCACCCTCCTGCTAACGTGAGTCGCGCACCTGCTGACGTCATCCAGCCCCTGCTAACGCCATCTCTACATACTAGACCTCTTTTACGACTATATTCGACCTTCCGAACCCGCTGGTACGCTCTGTTTTGCTGATTTTTGCTCCTATAGCACTGTTTTCACTATTTTACCTCACCAAACCATCATTATGGATCGTCATGATATTTCTTATCCAATCTTTGTTATCCTTGATGGCTCCAACTATGTGTTATAGGCCCAAGCCATGTCCGGTTTTCTGAAAGGGAAGAAACTTTGGCGCATTATCACTGGGGATGTGGTTCAACCAGTTAAAGAGGTTCATGAAACAGCTGCCACATATGCAGACTGTTTAGAAAACTGGAACAGTAAGAATTACCAAATCATCACTTGGCTTCGGAATACTTCGGTTACCTTTATCAGTTTACAATTTGGTCGTTTTGAACTAGACTCCGTGACTACTCCTGCCAAAGACATTTTGGATTTTTTAAGAGAACGTTATCAGACTACTGGTCTTGTTCATTAGTATCAGCTTCAAAGTCAACTTCATCGCCTGTGTCAAGACCTTGGTCAGTCTATTAATGTTTTTCTCTCTCAAAATATTCCGTTTGGGACCAACTCGTTCTCTCTGAACCTGTCTGGCCTCATATTGAAGATGTTACTTTATTCACTCAGTATCGTAATCACTAACGATTAGTTCAGTTTCTCATGGCTCTCACTACCCAGTTTGAGCCTGTGCGTGCATCTCTGCTTCATCGCACTCCATTGCCCACTTTTGAGCAGGCAAGTTTTGAGTTATTATCTGAGGAGACTCGTCTTGGCCCTCTAAAGACTCATCATGTGGATACAGTTCTTGCCACTCCCCAATCAGTGAGTTCCTCTACACCAACCACCCAACGGTCCACTACTTGCAATTATTGTCAGAATCTGGGCCTTCTTTCTACTTATCTTCTGCTTCATTACCTAGTCAGATCTTGTCGGTATTGTAACAAGATTAGTCCTGGTCATCTGCAGCAAGATTATTTTCGCAATCCAGACCGTTCATCTACTACTCGTGGGGCTTTGTCACGAGGTCGTTTATACTGTCCCAGGAATCAGTCTAGATCTCTGCCTGCTCCTCGCACTGCTGCTGCTGCTGCTGCCTCTGAGGAATTTTCTGAGCCTTTAGATCCAGCCGTGCCCGTCTTTTCCCAAACTGATGTTGAAGCCATGTTCAAACAGTTTCTCACCACCTCTGGTACACCTTCTTCTACTACTCTGTCTGTGACTTCAGGTACATTTCCTTGGTATTTTGACTCAGCTTGTTGCAATCATATGACTTCTGGTTCTATCCTATTTTCTTCTATTTCTTCCTCTCCTCATATTCCCTCCATTCATACTGCTGATCGTTCTTTTATGTCTGTAAGTCATATTGGTTCTGTTTCCACCTCTCATCTATCCTTATCAAATGTTTATCTTATTCCTGCTCTCACTTTAAATCTTATTTCTATTAGTCAATTATGTGAGCTTAGTCTAACTGTCACATTTTCTACTAATGGTTGTTTGGTACAAGACCCTTAGACGGGACAGACTCTTGGGATCAGCCGTAAGCATGGACGTCTCTATGAGTTCATTCATCTTCATGTTCCAGACTCCACCCTTATAGCTGCTCCTACATTTGCTTCCAGCATGTCTCATTTTAATATTTGGCATTGTTGTTTAGGACATATTGTTGTTGGTCGTTTAAAATCTTTAGTTTCTACTGGTCAGTTAGGTCATGTCATTCCCAATAATTTGGATTGTTTATCTTGTCAACTTGCAAAACAACCTGCTTTATCATTTAATGCAAGTACTTCTATTTCTTATGCACCATTTGATCTTATACATTTTGATATTTGGAGACCATCACCTGCTACCACTATGGGGGGATCACATTACTTTATTGTCTTTGTTGATGATTTTTCACGTTTTACATGGTTGTTTCTTATGAAAAGTCGATCAAAACTCAAACAACCTTATTACAACTTTGCAAGCATGGTCCAAACCCAATTTTCTAAAAACATTAAAAAATTTTGGTCTGATAATGTTATGGAATATAGGGATCTTGATTTTCTCTCTTTCATTCAGCATCACGGTACTCAGCCTCATCGTTCCTATGCTGGCATGTCCCAACAAAATGGTCGTGCTGAACGGAAGCATAGGCATATTCTTGACACTACTTGAGCTCTTCTTATCTTTTCCTTGTGTCCTGAATCTTTTTGGGGGGGAAGCTGCTCTTACTGCTGTCGACACTATCAATTGTGTTCCCACTCCTACTATCCATAACCAAACTCCTTATGCACGTTTACATGGCACTAGTCGTCCATACACAAATCTTCGGGTTTTGGGGTCTGCATGAGTAGATGTCCCCGAACGTCCCGGAAGGGAATCCCATTTTGTTCATTGGGGCTTACTACAGTTTGGACTCAATGTCACGGTCCTGTATCTAATCTCGCGGAGTGTAATGCAAGACCGATGAATCATCAAAGAGTCCAAATCTGGCAAATCATTTTGAAAAACTGATATTTAGAAAGAAGTGCCAAACATGGACTGCTTTGCCAGATACAGAGTCGCCACATAAATATTTTATTTTGGGAGAATTTAGGAAACCCTGACTCGTGCCTAAGGCCACGTGTCCGTCATCACCAAAGTTGCCTCGGCTCGGGAACTTGGGTACGATTGGGGAAGGTCACTTCGTGAGCACTCCCGCTCGCCCGATCAAAGATCGGCCTCTACTAACCATGATATCGAGTTTTGAAAACATTATGCGCTCTTATTCCGGTTATTAGCCTAGAATTACTATGTGATGCACACAACATACAAGTATAGACTGGATCGTTTGAGTTGGAACAAAACATTTCATGTTTGTTTATTTGAAAGATGGTTTGATGGTGCTACTCGCAAGTACGCTAAGACATGGATTTCCCACTCTCAAGTGGGCTTAAAAAAATATGATTTTGCCACTCTCAAGTGGGCTTAAAACTCTCAATTGGTGAATTGTTCTAATTCAAATAACCCAACCTTCACCCATAGGCATTCAGACAATTATATCACATAAGCACATAGCCTCATGGTAAGCATGCTATCATGGCAGTCACTCACACGCATGCAAGGATGCTAAAGCATAAACACTTACCGAGTACTCCGAGCCAAAGAAAGAAGCTAATTAGAAAACATGCATGAATCCTAACTATGCTGAGATGCCTAATGCAAAACATGCAAGAATGCAACTAAGATAGGCTCAGCTATTCTAAGATGGCATATGAGCTGCTACAGGTAACATGTATTCAACTTGGAATTGAAATACGATGTAGTTAGTATGATGCGCCGAGCCCGGTGCATGCAAAACAGATGAATGGATGCAAACATACGAGCATAAGGATGCTAATTTAAACGTGTCCTAAAACTAACCATCATAAGCTGGTAAATAAAAGGGAGAAAGACGTGGGGTTGGAAGACATACATCACACACGCGCACACTTATTACAACATTGCCTTCCTCGGAGGGTCCGAATAAATATTACACAACCGAATGAATAACGAATGACAGTTAATTATTACACAACCCTAACTAATTAACAAATTAACTAGAATAAATAAGCTAGCATGCAAAACATATGAAATGGACTGCCTCAGCTCGGTCTTGAATGACAAGGAATGCATGCATGCTCGAGTCGCCTTGCCAGAAAATCCATCGCGATGCTTCGACTTGCCTTTGTTTGCAATTGACCTCAGAACATTGCACAAGGCTCCAGAAGGCTGAAACTCCACCCTGGGAAGCTGTGGGAAGGCTGCCGACCAGCCCTTGGCCTTGGAGACCACCTGCCGACCACCTTTTGTGGTGGAGACCAAAAGAGGTGGTCGGCCTGCAAAAAAAGCTGATCGGCCGACTAGTTTCTGCCTCCTGTTCCTGGTTTTCTGCAACACAAAGCAAGA